ATCACGAGGAGTTTCACAGGGATCCGTGCTGGGCCCTCAACTTTTCCTTGTTTTCATAAACGACCTAACGGACATTCTCGGGCCACATGCATTAATGTTTGCAGACGATGCAAAGATATGGAAAACGGTGACAAAACCAGAGGACTCACTAGAACTCCAAAGAACCCTTAATGCTGTCTATCAATGGTCGATCGAAAATGACATGGAATTTAACGCATCAAAATGTACTATCGTATCCCTTCGACACGAAACTCGGTTTCCGTATTTCCTAGGAGATCAACAACTTCCGTACGTCTCGAATGAGGAAGATCTCGGCTTCATTGTTCAAGACAACCTAAGCTGTTCTTTAAACTGCTCCCGGGCATTGTCTACCGCTGTGAGACATGTTGGTTTGCTAAAACGAGTATTTGGCAAATTTGAACCAATGCTGTTCCCACGATTGTTATCAGCCTACATTCGACCCCACACAGAGTACGCCATTCAAGCATGGAATCCATGGCTGCAACGTGATCAAAAGATCCTGGAACGTCCACAAAGAATGGCTACCAAAATGTTCAAAGGACTGCATTCCAAGAGTTATGCGGAAAGACTGGAATCACTGCAACTGTACTCCGCATTTGAGGGAGTTTGATCTTGGTATACCAAATAATGCAGAACCCAGACCATCCATGTCGTCCACTCCTTTCCTTGTCGCCCAACACTCACCTGCGTGGGCACTCATTCAAACTAGTGCTTCAAAATTGTCGACTAGAATGCCGGCGGCATTCATTCGCCCTCAGAGTGTGCATTGCTTGGAATTCTCTACCACCACACGTTGTCTCTGCGCCCACAATTGATACATTCAAGCACAAACTAGATGAAGCTTTGAAAAGTCTTAAATTTCAACATCCGTAGAAGCGCATGAAACGAGGACAAATTGTGACATTCATCTGCTTTGTATGAACTGTGAACCGATTCATCTGTGTCAAATCCTATGGGACTAGAAAAGCAACCGCTTGTATTTCCCATAATAAAACTTTGACTTTGACTTATACTGCAGTTGTTTCGTTTTGAAAATGTCAGCGAAGTTGCTGTTGAATTTGGCAACATTGCTCAAAAGGTTATCCCAAAAGAGTGCAGAATGGTTTGAATTTGTTTATTTTTTATTTTAAGTCAAGACCACTCAGATTATTCAATGAATTTTTATTGGAAACAGTTTCATGATTGCCTAGAAACTGTTGCAAGTTTTCCACATATATTCTTTCCCAACTGACTCTTTGTAAACTAATAAATCGATTTTTTTCATAATCATCTCATCAATCTTACTCTGCTTGCTTATCTCCCCTGAGGGTATGAAAAAGTTAGTTGTACTAAAATTACCTTGACGCACAGTTAGAATCAAGGTCGGTGTGAAATAGATGTTCAAGCACGTGTATGTGTATTACCATACAAATATATGCATATACGTATGCATACATACATGCATACGTATATACATACATATATACTTAAGCACACACCTAAACCTGTTTGCTCATGTACTTACTTACTCAGTTAATTAGTTAATTAAATAATTACCTAATTTCTTACTTGCCCATTCTGAGTTTATTAAATAGAGAAGTATANGTATATATATATATATATATATATATATATATTTCAGCTAGGTGTGAAACCACTGCACTGGTTAGTGACTTAATCGTTCCGGTGTTCAACCACAATTTGTGCAAGCGCTTAAGCTTCCCTGGCCCACCCCCCATATATATATATATATCACCGGCTTAGCAAACAGCTTTGAAGTGCGTCAATCTCCAAGGCGGATTCAAATACTGTAATTTTATGGTCTAAAAGGGGCAAACAAAATGGCCTATACACGAGATAAATACAAGTAAACAAAAAATAACTGTCTCGAACCATGATGAAATTTTAAAAATAACCAAACAAGGCGTAGGTAAGTTTTAGAGCAGCAAAGCTAACTGGAGGCAAAATCACAGCCAAAAAAGCAAATTTGATATTGGTAAGACTGCTTTATTGCTTCGTGTGGATGATTAATAACCCCTTAATGTTGAAATCGAATAGGTGAAATATGTCCAACTGGGGTATTCGGTAAATAAGAGAACCTAGTTGTTTGCATCGAAAGAAGTGAGAAACAATCTCTTGCACCTACACTTAATATAAAGATGTATAAAGGGAAACATCTATCTGCAAAACCGATTGTCAAACTTAAGAAAAGCATGATTCAACGTGATAAGGGCGTAAATTTGTTAATGTATCTTTTCACTTTGATGTGAGCTTTGTGATGAATCGATTGAACATGATTAACTGTGTGGAAAATCAATTAAATCCTAATGATATCTTGTGTTGGGAAATTTTACACGATTCATATCCTAATTGGTTTAGATGTATAACCTACCTAAACACGTTCTCTTGACTGTCTAGATAGTTTGCTCCATTATTTCAGACTCCAATTACTTAGAAGGAGAATATCCCCAGAACGACTTGGAGACAAATACCACTCGCAGATGTCTAAGCGAGCATACCATGTTACAGCCGGTAGTCGTCTATAAAATGCAGCAATCTTCGTTTAGCCGATAAATGCAACATTTTCAAGATTTGATTACAATAAGAAGAAGGAATTGATTTCCAATACAATGCAAAGCAGCTTAGATAGAGGGTCGGATAGCTGCGCCACTTTAAACTGGTCATCAGATCACGACAGAAAGATCGTGTTAATTAATAATGTATTAACTGGCAAAATTTCCGTAGCGTCTTCAAGATAATGGTAATGAGATTAAGAGCTGGTAAATTACGATCAATGAGGTTCTGACAATCAAAATTCTTACTTTAACGTGATCACCTACCTCTCGCTATATTAAAATAGATTTAACATCAGCCAATTTTCGCAATATTTCTGTGATACAGTCGCCGGAAGATGTTACTGGTTGATGCTGTTATCAACTGATGCCAGTCAGTTTGGAAGAATTATCATGCTATTAAAATCACGTGTGAGGCGGTGCTTGACACAGCAGAATAGTCCAGCCATGTTTTCGTCGACATCCACGCTACGACACAAAAACTGTGACTCACTTTGTTTTTTAGTTCGTCTTTCATACTGTGTTGTTCAGTCTTTGCATCAGCTTCTTTAGCTGTATAGGTGCTGTCTAGAGCCACAAAGATGTCTTTCAAATCATCTAACTGTTTTCCGTGTTGTGCAATCAAAAAATCTTCCTCTAAAATGGAGGCATTCCATGATCGAATTTTCCTCGGGTACATTTGGACTCACCACGTCCAAACTCTGAGATCAACAACTGCAGTTCGGTCTCATAGTCCGTGCGAAGTTTTTGTAGCCGACCGTTCTGCAATTCTGTTCCAACACAATGTGTGGAGGAAACGGAGAGATATAAAACAATATTTGATCACAGCAGTATAATTTTGGTTTTTAAATGCATCTATTACAGCTGATGACGTGGCAAACCTATAAGTTACGATGAATTATCAATCTATTCCATGGTATACTTTACACTATATCACTGCGGTTTGTCCGGTTTCGCCGTATGATGTACACGGATGGATAAGATCGAATTTGGCAATTAACTTGTACATCATCCTAGTAAAGCGTTACGTCAGTATCTGTGCGGCCCCATCAACTAACGCGGTATTCATTCCCACATGCACACACGCATACATTTCCATTGCTCTCTGCCTCCGATTACTGACCTTAAATTGAGTCAATGGCTATCTATATGTACGAATTTTTTCCACATGACTAGGAATATCCAAAAACAATTGTTCGTTCATCGATTTGTTTTCTCATAGTTGTATTCTCGAAAACCCCTCGCCGAATTATAAGTTTCACTACTTCAGAAATAATCAGTAGGTAATTGATTTGAGGTCTTTGGAGTATATATATATTCGTCACAATTACCTTGTTTGCAACGCCGGGTGACCATTGGATAGATAGCTCTTTCAGAGCCAGTCCAATGAAGAATCAATGGTACGATTCGATGTTTTTGTAAGTGGGCTAGATGCTACTAACCGCAACAAACGTGACCCGATGGTCTTGGTAGAATATTTGATAATAAGTAGTATGTGAA